AGCAGGAATATCAGCAGCACAGCTTGCCACCCCAAAGCTCACGTGCCTGCCTCCTGGGGCGTGCTTGTATGGACCAGCCACCTGCATCAGGACACGGACATCCCCTGCCACCAGACAGGCTCCCCAGCTGAACTGGGATGTGCATACGGTGGCTCTGGGGAGATAAGAAGCTGCTGCCCTCCCTCCCCAGGGGCAGGATTTGTCCCCCTTCCCTTCAGGCCTCACGGACAGAAGGAAAGCGTCCCTCCTGCTGACTCACCCCAGCTTTCCTTTGTTCTCCACCAACACCGGGGCAGAGCACCAGCACCGTCTGTACCACAAACCCTATGCCAGAAACCCTTTGCAGGCCCCTGCTACAGCATGAGCAATTCGCCTCCTTCCAGTAAGTTTGCAGAGCACCCCTGCCCGTACCACCCTGCTGCTGCCACCCTCCTGTGTATTTTGCTGCCCAGACCTCCAGTAAGCCAAACCCCTCCCTCTTTGACACCCCCACGGCAAGATCTGTAGGATTTCTGGTGCTTGGGAGAGCCCAGCGATTCAGGAGAGGAAAGGAACTACTTGGTTGTTTTTTTTTTTTTTTAAGCTCAGCTCAGCGGGGCAAATTCCTAAGCGAGACACCCCATCCCTCCACCCATTTTCAAGCCTCTTCGCCCAGTCGTGCCATGACGCAAGACAAATCCGGAGGGACGGCCACAACACAGCTCCCTCCCTTCCTCCCAGGAACACGCAAGGGCTTTGGGGGGAGAGCAGCTTGGATGCAAACAGCTGAGTTGCAAGGAAATACATAGGGAGGGGATTCACGTTTCCAGGGGCCAGACCGAGCCCGTGGTTTAAGTCCTCCCAGCGCTTGAAAAGAGACCTGGCTGAAATTCCTCCTTAGGTTTTTTTGCCCTGCCTTGGCCCTGCTCCACTCGCTGGCGTAAAGCAGGAGTGCGGCTCTCACCGCACACACCCAGCCGGTCCCGCAGATGTTAGTGTCACCTATGCAACGCGCCGGTGGAGGAAAGTCACTCCTGAGCACGCTGGAGTTGCAAGCACCGCTTCCCAGCGCTGCAATTAAAACCTGGCTTTTTATTTTTAACGTCCCTATCAAACATCCTTGCCAGGATCTCTTCTGGGATGACTGCGCCCATCTGCTGCGAGGACAGGGACGGGTATCTGGGCATAAGACGTCCCAGAAGTTACGCCGATCGAAATCACGGTTTTCTTGGCAGCCCCTGCACCCCTCCGGTTACTGCTGCAGGTGACAGGACCCCGGCACAACACCCAGCCCCACATTTTCCCCCCACCCCAAGGAGTTAATGCTGGCAGGTAGCAGCAACCCCCTGCCTCCTGAGCAAGGGGATTTTTAAGGAGGGCAGCATCCACCCATCACCCGGAGCCAGCCCTATCCTGCACCCCCCTCATCCCAGCAGCTCTGAGCATGGGGAAAAGGCACAAAACCCCACTGGGGGTCGACAACTCCCCCCTTCCCCGGGCTGGGTTGGTTTGACAGGCACGAAGGCACCCCTGGCACTGCACCCCAGGAGCAGAGAAGTGTTTACCCCCACCAAACGCTGCCAGAGTGCCCGAGCCATGGCTACCGACAGCAGGAGCCAAGCCCGTGCCTCGCACCGGCGTAGGGCAGGGGGCCAAGAGGGAATCGCACTCCCCTTTTTTCATCCCCCAGTAACTTTCCCAGAGACAACTCGGGGGGCCAAGCCAAAGCCCGGTCCCCTGGCACCCAAACCGCCCTCTCGGCTTGCTGCCTGGTGCCCGTCCTGCACCACCAATCGACATGATGCATCCCCGGTGGGGAAACTGAGTCACGTCCCCGAAGGCACCGGCCGCCCTCCCCGTGCAGCAGGACCCCCCCATGCCCCCCAAGGCAGAAATCCAGCTGCTCCTACCTGAGCGTGGCACTCTCCCCTTGCCGCACAGTCACGTTGTCCATAGCTTTGGGGAAGGTGGCATCTCCGCTGCGCACGGGCACTCCTGCGGGCACAAGGAAGAGCAGCCTGAGACAGAGGACGACTAGGCACCTCCAGGGCAGGGCTAAGCACCCACCGACCCCCATCCTGGGCAGCAGGGACTTTTCCAACAGGCAAAAAACACACCCGACAAGGCCACCAGGAGCGAAAAGGGGGGGGGAAGAGGAGAGAAGGGGTGCGTGTGTGGGGATGGAGGGGAGCAAAACCACCGGGGCGAGCGATGCGGAGCTCCACGGAGATCAGGAGAGCCCCCGGCAAGGCAGCCTGCGAGCACTGAGCCTGCCGAGCGGCATCCGGAGGGAGTCCCCAGTATCCTTGGGTGAGGGAGGAGGACGGGAGGGCCGGGGGGGAGGAGGAAGAGGAGGAGGAGAAGTGGCAAAGGTGCTGGACGTTGGGCGAGCCGGCTCTTCCCGGGAAGCAGTCCGAGGCTCACTTGGGCGAGGAGGTGCCGGGGGAGCCGCCCGGCTGCGCCCCGCTCCCGCCCCGCGCACTTGTCCCGAGTTGGCAGCTCCCCTCCGCAGCGCGGAGCGAGGGCAGTCCAAAAAACCAGTCAAAACCAAAAAAAACACCCCCGAAGCAAGCTAGCAAACGGGTCCAGATGCAAAAAGGCACAGCGGGCAAAGGCCTCCGAGGTGCCCAGCAGCCCCTCCTCTCCTCCAGCTTCGCTGTCGGGTCCCAAAGGCGGGCTGGTCCAGGCGGGATGCAGGATGGGGGGGATGTCAGGATGCCGGGATGCAGAACGCAGGGATGTCAGGATGCCGGAGCCCCCCAGCTGCCCTCAGCGGTGGGAGAAGGGGCCGCGGGGGAGCGGGCGAGGCGGCGGCAGCATCCCAGCCCCGCCGGCGCGGCTGGTCGGCCGCCTGCCCCGGGGCAGCGGTGG